CATGATTTCCCTTTAGTGAATCCATGCTGACTAGAACTGATTCTGTCACCATTTTCCAAATGCTGTTATTACATCCTTAATGATTGACTCCAGCATTTTCCCCAACACCGATGTCAGGCTAACTGCCTATAATTCCCCATTTTCTCTCTCCCTCCTTTTTTAAAGAATGGAGTTATATTAGCTACCCTCCAGTCCATTGGAACTCTCCCAGAGTCTACAGAATGCTGGAAAATGATCAGCAATGCATCCGCTATTTCTAGGGTCACTTCCTTAATTACTCTGAGATGCAGAGCATCAGACCCTAGGGATTTATCGGGTTTTAATCCCATCAATTTCCCCAACGCCATTTCCTGACTAATAAGGATTTCCTTCAGTTCCTCTTTCATTATTGACCCTCAGTCCCCTAGCATTTTCTGGAGATTGTTTGTGTCCTCCTTAGTGAAGACTGTTCCAAAGTATTTGTTCAACTGATCTGCCATTTCTTTGATAGTAGGAACTGCAGATGCTGGAGAATCTGAGATAACAAGGTGTAGAGCTGGATGAACACAGCAGGCCAAGCAGCATCAGAGGAGCAGGAAAGCTGACCTTTCAGGCCTAGATGACCCTTTCTGAAGAAGGGTCTAGGCCCGAAACATCAGCTTTCCTGCTCCTCTGATGCTGCTTGGCCTGCTGTGTTCATCCAGCTGTACACCTTGTTATCTGCCATTTCTTTGTTGTCCATTATGAATTCACCTGATTTGAGTTGCAAGGGACCTGCATTTGTCTCCACCAGTCTTCTCTTCACATTTCTATAGAAGCTGTTGTATTCGGTTTTATGTTTTCCGCAAGCTTACTTTCATATTCTATTTTCCCTTCCCAAAGTAAACCCCTTGTTCTTCTCTGCTGAATTTTAAATATATCTCAGTCCTTGGGTTTGCTGGTTTTCCTGGCCTATTTACATGCATTCTTTTTGGCTTTAACACTTCCTGATTTCCCTTGTTAGCCATGGTTGAGCCACCTTCCCTGTTTTACTCTTACGCCAGACAGAGATGTACAATTGTTGAAGTTCATCCATGTGTTCTTTGAATGTCTGCCATTGCCTATCCACCTTCAACCCCTTGGCCAGTTTATCCTAGTGAAGACATGCCTCATACCATCAAAGTTAGCTTTCTTTAAGTTCAGGACCCTAATTTCAGATTTAATTGTGTCACTCTCCATCTTAATGAAAAATTCTACCATATGATGGTCACTCGTCCCCAAAGGATCTCTCACCACAATGTCGCTAATTAATCCTGTCTCGTTACACAATACCTAGTCTAGGATGGCTTGTTTTCGAGTTGGTTATGTCAATATGTCAAGGAAACCATTCCTCATACATTCCAGGAAATCCTCCTCCGTTGCATTGCTACCAATTTGTTTAGTCCAATCAATATGTAGATTGAAGTCACCCATCATACTTGCTGAATCCTTACTGCATGTATCTCTAATTTCCTCTTTGATACAGTCCACAACATCATGACTACTGTTTGGTGTTCTGTATACAACTCCCACTAATGTCTTTTTCCCTTTGTTGTTCCACAGCTCCACCCATACAGATTCCACATTGTCCAGGCTAATGCTCTCCCTTACTATTGTGTTAATCTCCTTCTTAACCAGCAATGCTACCTCACCTCCCTTTCCTGAAGATTGAATAACCCTGGATGTTGAGTTCCCATCCTTGGTCACCCTGCAGCCAGGTCTCTGTGATCCCAATTACATCATATCCATTGATAACTGTTTGTGCAGTTAATTCATCATTATTACAAATGCTCCTCGCATTGAGACACAGACCCTTCAGGCTCATTTTTATGACATTTTATTGCCCATTTAGAATTATGATGAAATGTGGCCCTTTTTGATTTTTGTCTTTGGTTTCTATGCCTTCCACTATCATTTCTCCCCTTATTGTCTTTTGTTTCTGTCCCAACTTTTCTTCCCTCCAACTTCCTGCATTGGTTTCCATCCCTCTGCCCTATTAGTTTAAACTCTTTCCATCAGCACTAGCAGACACTCCCCCTAGGACATTGTTTCCAGTCCTGCCTGGGTGCAGACCATCTGATCTGTACTCATGCCACCTCCCCCAGAACTGATTTCAATGTCCCAGGAATATGAATCCCTCCCTCTTGCACCATCCTTCAAATCACATATTCATCTTAGCTATCCTGCCATTCCTACTCTGGCTAGCACGTGGCACTAGCAGTCCCGAGATTATTACCTTTGAGGCCCTACTTTTTAGTTTAATTCCTAACTCCCTAAATTCAGCTTCTAAGACCTTATCCTGTTTGGTTTTACTTATATCGTTGGCGTAAATGCATCACGAGAGCTGGTTGTTCACCACCGGCCCCCTCCCCCTTCCCCCCCAAGAATGTCCTGCAGCTGCTCCGAGACATCCTTGACCCTTGCACCAGGGAAGCAACGTACCATCCTGGACTATTGTTTGTGGCCGCAGAAACACCTATCTATTCCCCTTACAATGTAATGCTCTATCATTGTAGCTCCGCTGTTCCTGTGTAGCAGAGTCAGCCACAGTGCCATGAACCTGGCTGCTGCCACTTTCCCTTGGTGAGCCATCTCCCCCAACAATATCCATAACGGTATACCTGTTTTAGAGGGAGATGAGCGCAGGGGCCGCCTGCACTGCCTTCCAACTCTTCCTCTGTCTGTTGGTCACCCATTCCCTATCTTTCCCAGTAATTATTATCTGCAGTGCGACCAACTTACTGAATGTGCTATCCATGATTCCCTCAGCCTTGCGGATGCTCCAAAGTGAATCCAGCTACAGCTCCAGAGCTGTCGAGTGGTCAGACAGGAGCTGCAGCTGGACACACTTCCTGCACGTGAAGGAGTCAGGGACATCAGAACGGTCCCTGAATTCCCACATCGCACAGAAGGAGCATAACATGGGTCTGGGATCACCTGCTATGACTTAACCCTTAAGTTAACAACAGTAGCAAAGTGAAGAGAAAATAAGGGAGAAGAAAAACTACTCACCAGTCACTCACTCACCTGTTGCCTGTGCCTTCACAGTTAAACTTCCTTCCACTTCTCCTGTACCCTTGTGTGTTCAGTGCTGCAGTAGTTTGCTCCTCATCCAACTGCATTACCTCACTGCTGCTCACTCTGCTTACCGAAGCCCAGTATTTACTTAAGCCTACACTTAAACCTTCAGCAGCACATCAACCATAAAGCTGCCCTTCTCAAAATGGCTGCTCCAAAAATGGCCATTCTGCTATAGCTTGTTATAACAGACCTCCTGACACCCCAATGCCTGTCCACTATCTTCAAGACACAAGTCAGGAGTGTGATGGAATACTCCCCACTTGCCTGGATGAGTGCAGCCCCAACAACACTTAAGATGCTTGACACCATCCAGGACAAAGCAGCCTGCTGATTGGCACCACATCCACAAGCATCCACTCCCTCCACGATCAATGCTCACTAGCAGCAGTGTCTACTATCTACAAGATACACTACAGAAATTCACCAAAGATCCTCAGACAGCAGCTTCCAAACTCATGACCATTTATATCCTGAAGGAAGTTGGCAGCAGATACATGTGAACATGACCAGCTTGAAGTTCCCCTCCAAGCACTCCCCATTTTGACGTGGAAATATACTGCCCATCCTTTACTGTCACTGGGTCAAAATCCTGGAATTCCCTCCTTGATGGCATTGTATGTCAACCTACAACAGGTAGACAGCAGTGGTTCACGAAAGCAGCTCACCACCACCTTCTCAAGGGCAATTGAGGACGGGCAAGAAATGCTGACCAGCCAGCGACACCCATGTGCCACAATGAATTAATAAAGAAAAATACAGCAACTTCATGTCGCCTACTTTATTGCAGTGAAAACACCCGAGTTTTTTTACTTCTCTTCCCCCCTCATAGGTTTCCTTTTACCCTGCGGTAAACTATCTTCACTGTCTTCAATGAGATCTCCTTATTGCTTATCACCTGAGGATTTTTCTTTTCCCCAATTTCTATCCCTCACAGATTGAAATTGATGTCAGAAGCCAAAGTTTAATCTATGAACCAACTCATAGTCATCTGCCATTTCCGCTGCTAATCTTGCAGTCTTGATTCTCTGCTCTTCCACATGAGTTATCACTACTTAAGGAAGTGAATTTTTGAACTCTTCCAAAATAATTTTCTCTCTAAGAGCATCATATGTTTGATCTATTTTCAATACCCTTATCCACCTACCAAAATTACTTTGTTTGATCCTTTCAAACTTGATGTTTGTTTGACCAGGATCCCCTTGGATTCCTAAAATGTTGGCTGTAGGCTTCTGGTACTTGCTCATATGTACTTAAGATGGCTTTTTCACTTCATTATGCTGTCCAGATACCTTCTCTGGATAGTGATACAAGTACCTCAGTAGCTGAGCCAACCAACTTTGTTTGGATCAATAATAACCACATGATCATTGGCCATTTAATTTGTTTAGCCACTTTCTCAAATGAAATGGAAAAGGCTTCTATATCCTTGTCATCGAACTTAGGCAATGCTTGGTCATATTTAAACAGATTTAAACCAGGCTTTTTGGATATGATGGGATTGCTGTCCATCAATGTCCTCTTCACTACTCCTACCTGTTATCTCTAACTCCATCATTTTAAGTCAGTTTTGAGTTTTTGGTTCCAACCTCTGAAGTTCAAAAACTGTCCCATTCTCCCTTTCTTCTGGGCCATCATTTCTTTTTCTTTTCCCTCTGCTTTTAATCAAAATTCAAACTGTTTCATTTCCTTTTCTTTTTGTTCTGCCAGAGCCAATTTTTTTTTGTTTTCTTTTTACCTTGCCATTGCTTCTTATTGAAGCTGCTTCATTTGCAATTGAATTTTAGCATCTCCAATGATTTTGATTACATTTGTGGGAATTGTAAGATTAGAGCTATTACTGCAATTTTTTCTGCTTTCCTCACAGACACAGGCAACTCCAACGTCAACTTGTTTGCCAATTCCAAAAGCTTTGCCTTGCTTACTTTCTGTAAAACACCCAAAGTGAATTTTTCCATCCACGGGAAACTCTTGGCAACTGAAAGAGGCATTATTACACAAGGCGCACCTTATTTAAACCGACTGAATGCAACACCTGAAATGAAAAAGCACCAACACTTACCACCTGCTGCCTTTAAATCCAATAATCCTATACCCAACCTGGTGATAGAGATTTTGATCTCAACAAGTGCCCCCAATTTGTTATGGACCAGACCAAACCCACCTCAAATATACTAAGAAGATAATCTAGACTTCAATGTTTTCTTATTTTAAACGTAAGTGTTACATTCCACATGCAATTTGATTGATCAAACTATTGACTTTATTTTTAGACTACAGTTAAAATACAGACAAAATAAAAATAAAAGGATTGGCTTAACTGTAACTCCATTGAAATGCTTGACAAAATATATATATTAAACACTACTAATTAATAATACAAAATTGGCTTGTTGGTAGAAGACAGGGTGGTGGTGGAGGGTTGTTTTTCAGACTGGAGGCCTGTTCCCAGTGGTGTGCCACAGGGATCGGTGCTGGGTCCACTGTTATTCATCATTCATATAAATAATTTGGATGAGAATCTAGGAGGTTTGGTTAGTAAGTTTGCAGATGACATCAAGATTGGTTGTATAGTGGAAAGTGATCATAGAATCCCTACAGTGTGGAAACAGGTCCTTTGGCCCAACAAGTCCACACGGACCCTCAGAGCATCCCACCTAGAACCATCCCCGAATCTAGGCATCCCTGAACACTATGGGCAATTTAGCATGGCTAATTCACCCAGCCTGCACATCTTTGGACTGTGGAAGGAAACCGGAGCACCCGGAGGAAACCCATGCCGACACTGGGAGAATGTGCACACTCCACACAGACAGTCGCCCGAGACAGGAATTGAACCCAGTCCCTGGTGCTGTGAGGCAGCAGTGCTAGCCACTGTGCTGCCCCCAAATCTGGTTGGTTTAAATAAGGTGTGCCTTGTGTAATAATGCCTCTTTCAGTTGCTAAGAGTTTCCTGAGGGGGGATCTGGGAATGCAGCCAGATCTTGATCAACTGGGCCAGTGGGCTGAGGAATGGCAGATGCAGATGAAGTTTAATTTAGATAAATGCAAGATGTTGCATTTTGGTAAAGCAAACCAGGGTAGGACTTACTTAGTCAATAGTCGGGCCCTGGGGTGTGTTACAGAACAGAGAACTAGGGGTAGAGGTTCATAGCTCCTTGAAAATGGATTCACTGGTAGACAAGGTGGTGAAGAAGGCTTTCAGCATGCTTTCTTTCTTCGGTCAGAGCACTAAATATAGGAGATAGGGTGTCTTGTTGCAGCTGTGCAAGACTTTGGTGAGGCCACGTTTGGAGTGCTGCCTGTAGTTCTGGTTGCCGTACCAAAGAAAGGATATTATTAAACTAGAAAGAGTGCAGAAAGGATTTGCTAGGATGCTATCTGGACAGGAAGGTTTGTGTTATGAGGAGAGGTTGGACGGGCTGGGACTCTTTTCCCTGGAGTGTAGGAGACTGAGGGGTGACCTTATAGAGGTGTATAATATCATGACAGTCACATATCAGGTAGATAGCCGACAGCTTTTCCCTATGGTAGGGGAGTCTAAAACTAGAGGGCATAGGTTTGAGGTGAGAGAGGAGATATACAAAAGGGTCCAGAGGGACAATTCTTTCACACAGAAGGTAGTGAGAACCTGGAACGGGTTGCCAGAGGCAGTGGTGGAAGCGAGTACAATTTCATCATCTAAGAACCATTTGGACAGATACACGGATGGGATAGGTGTGGAGGGATATGGACCAAATGCAGTCAAATTGGACTAGTTTAAGCTGTGAAAACTGGGCGGCATGAGCAAATTGTGCTGAAGGGCCTGCTTTCATGCTGCAGACCTCTATGACTCTGTAACTGTTCCAATATAGTAATATCCCATAAACAAATCCTTGGCAAAGGCAAATTCAGTAAGATAGATTCTCTTATGTGCAGTTCTAGCAGCAGGAAGAGATCCCCAGCTTTAGCTAGAGCAGAGAGAGGAATAAGAGCTTTCACATCCAGCTTCAAGACCCCAGAAACTGCAGAAAGCCAAAACTAAAATTCTGGTTCTGTGCGAGCTTGACCCCACCTATTCAGGCTGCTTGTATTGTTCCAACTTTAAAAAAAATGCCCAAGATCTCATAAGTTGTTTATTCTATTGGCTTTGAGTAGACTGCTCAGTACCTCTGTCTCAACCTTTCTTCAACAAAAAAAAAGGCAAAATACACCTCTTATTACTCAATCACATTACTGCTAGTTGCTGTACACATAACTCTGTTCTCTGTTTTGGGTCTGATGTGTGTTCATGACCTTCAAAACCGCTTGGATCACACTTTATCCCTGAAACTTCACAGTGGAACATGACAGCGAAGGAGACTCAATCTTTACATTACTAGAATCTATAAAATGATTTCCACTAGGAGTCATTGGGCAATGATTGAAAGCAGGAGCTAGATTTTTATTCCCCTGCCTAGCCTAGAGGTTCTGAAGCAAATTCTATGTCCCCTCTCTTCTCTTTGCCTTTCATACTTACAGGAACAAAGTTGGAACCTTCTGGGCCATGTGACTCAGTATCGCATCTGGCAATGCCTGCATTTTGTATCTTTATTCTGACACTATCCACAATGTGTTACTTGCAGTTTGTTATCCGTACATCTCTGAAGAGGCGACAAGTCAGCCATCTGTTTCAAACAAGCGCTCAACAAGATGTGAGGGAGTACAGTTCAGAACTGCTCCCTTTACAGTGAATAATTTACAGCAAAACAGGAAAATTTCACTGAGTTCAACGTTTCCAGATCATGGCAAGGAAAGTGTTGTTGCTTCGGATGTTAGGCAACAACAGCGCCTTCTGTAGCTTCTGAGCAATTCCTCTGTTTACTGCATGTGTTCCAGAGAATAAAGCAAAGCAGAATATGGATATTCCATGTTATATGGTTACAGCAACAGTGTTGAATTTTGTGGTGAAGTCTCAGGAAGATAGGAAATTCAGAACAATATTAGTCAGCCATCAGTCCTGGTTCAGGGCCATAAGAAAAAGGAACAGGAGTAGGCCGTTCAGCCGCTCAAACCTGCTCTGCCATTCAATAGAATCATGGCCAATTCAACATTCCTCACATCCACTTTCCTGCCCTTTTCCCTAACCCTTGATTCCCCTAATCTTCAAAAATCCGTCTCAGCCTTAAATTTACACAAGAACTCTGCCCCAACAGCTCTCGGCGGCAAGGAGTTCCAAAAACTCCCAACCCTCTGGGAGAAAAAAATTCCTTCTCATCTCAGTCTTAAATTGGTGCCTCTGTATTCTGCATTTATGTCTTTTGGTCCTAGACTATTCCATGAGGGGAAATATCTTCTCAGAATTTACCCTGTCAAGCTTCTTAAAAATTCTGGAAAAGCTCAGCAGGTCTGGCAGCATCTGTGGAGAGAAATCAGAGTTAACATTTCGGATTGAGTGACCCTTCCTCAGAACCTCCACAAATGCTGCCAGACTTGTAGAGCTTTTCCAGCAATTTCTGTTTTTGTTTCTGATTTACAGCATCCACAGTTCTTTCAGTTTTTCCCTTAAGAATCCTCCATGGTCAGTAAGATCACCTCTCATTCTTCTAAACTCCAGTGTGTAGGATCCCAAATTGTTTAGCCTTTGTCCATAAGACATTCCCTCCATACAAATAGTCATCTGAGTGAACCTCACTGAACTACCACCAATGAAATGATATCTTTTCTCAAATAAGGAGACTGAAACGGCTCACAGTGCTCCAGGTGTGGTCTCACCAGCACCTTGTTGCACTAGGTCTTCCCACTCTTATACTTAAACTCGCTTTAAATAAGGGCCAACGCTCCATTAGCCTCCTGATTATCTTTGCACCTGTGTGCTAACTTCCTATGTTTGCGCACAAATCTCTTTGTGTTGCAGATTTCTGCAGTTTTTCTCCATTTAAATAATATTCTGTTCTTTTGTTCTCCTTTCCAAAATGAGCAACTCACTTCTTCCCCACATTTATACACTATTTTCAAACTTATTGCCCACTCACTTCATAGAATCTTTACAGTGTGGAAAGAGGCCATTCAGCCCATTGTGTCTGTACTGACTGTCCAAACAGCATTCAACCCAGACACCCACCCTATCCCGATAACCTTGCATTTACCATGGCCAATCCACCTAACCTGCACACCTTTGGACTATGGAAGAAAACAGGAACACCTGGTAGAAATCCATGCAGACGTGTGGAAAATGGCTGGAATGGCACCTGGGTCTCTGGCACTGTGAGGAAGCAGTGCTAACCACTGAGCTACCATGCCCCTAAAGGGGAACCTGGCCTAGTGATATTACAACTGGACTGTTAATCCAGGCACCCAAGTAATATTCTGGTGACCCAGGTTTGATTCCTGGCCATGGCAGATAAAATCTGGAATTAAGAGTCTGATGATGACGATGAATCCATTGTTGATTGTTGGAAAAGCCCATCTGGTTCACTAATATCCATTAGGGAAGGAAACTGCCAACCTTACCTAGTCTGGCCCAGATGTGACTCCAGACCCACAGAAATGTGGGTTGACTTTTAACTGACCTCTGGGCAATTGGGGATTGGCATTAAATGCTGACCCAGTCAGTGACACCCCTGTTCCGTGGATAAATAAAGAAAACTTACTTAACCTATCAATTTCTCTCTATAAACTGTTTGTATCCCTTTCACAACATGCCTTTCCACCTATGTTAGTGTCATCTGCAAATATACTGCTACAGTGCATTCACTTCTTTCTTCCAAGTCATTACTATAAACTTTAAGCAGTTGCGGTCCCAATACTGATCCTGCTGGTTACTGGTCACCAGCCTGAAAAATAGAACCCATTTTCCCTACTCACTGTGTCCTGCCCATGAGCCAGTTCTCTCCTGCATCCAACACAGTGGGCTGTTACCTTATGACTTAACATTTTGTCAGGTACTTTGTTGAATGCCTTCTGGAAGTCGAAATACTGTACAACACATCTACTAGTTCCCCTCTATCCACTCTGGTTGAGACTTCTTCAAAAAAACTTGTCAGATGTGATTCCCTTTTCATGAAGCTATACTGACTCTGCTTGATTAGAGTCATAGGGTCATGGCGCTGTACAGCATGGAAACAGATCCTTTGGCCCACCTCATCCATGCTGACCAGATATCCTAAATTAATCTAATCCTATTTGCTAGTATTTGGCCCGCATCCCTCTAAACCCTTCCTATTCATATAACCATCCAGATGCCTTTTAAATGTTGTAATTGTACCAGCCTCCACCACTTCCTCTGACAGCTCATTCCATACACGCACCACCATCTGTGTGAAAAAGTTGCCCCTTAAAAATATAAAAATATATAGTCGTAAAAATATATCCTCTCTCACCTTAAACCTATACCCTCTAGTTTTGCACTCTGCTACCCTGGGGAAAAGACCTTGACTATTTGCCCTGTCTGTGCCCCTCAAGATTTCATAAACTTCTATAAGGTCACCCCTCAGCCTGTGACGCTTAAGGGAAAATAGCCCTGGCCTATGCAACGTCTCCCTATAGCTGAAACCCTCCAATCTCAGCAGCATACTTGTAAATATTTTCTGAACCCTCTCAAGTTTCACAACATGCTTCCTATTAACAGGGAGACCAGGAGTGAACGCAGTATTCCAATGTCCTGTACAGCTGCGACATGACCTCCCACCTCCAACACAGTGCACTGACCAATAAAGGCAAGTGTACCAAATGCCTTTTTCACTGTCCTGTGTACCTGTGATTCTTCTTTCAAAGAACTATGAACTCGCATTCCAAGGTCTCTTTGTTCAGCAACACTCCCCAAGCCCTTACCATTAAGGGTGTAAGTGCTGCCCTGATTTGCCTTTCCAAAATGCAGCACCTCACATTCATCCAAATTCCATCTGCCTCTCCTCAGCCCACCAGTCCATCTGATTAAGGCTGCGTTGTAGTGTGAGATAACCTTTTTGGCTGTCCACTATACCACTAATTTTGGTGTCATCTGCAAACTTAATAACCATACCTCCTATGTTCACATCCAAATCATTTATATAAACAACGAAATGCAGTGGATCCAGCATGGATCATTGTGGCATGCCGTTGGTCACAGGCCTCCAGTCTAAAAAAAGCAACCCTCCACCACCACCCTCTGTCTCCTATTTTTGAGCCAGTCTGTATCCAGATGGCTAGTTCTCCCTGTATTCCAGTCTACCACACAGAACCTTGTAGAACACCTTGCTGAAGTCCATATATATTGCTTTACCGCTCTGCCTTTATCAATCTTCTTTGTTACTTCTTCAAAGAACTCCATTAAGTTAGTGAGACACAATTTCCTGCGCACAAAGCCATGTTAACTATCCCTAATCAGTCCTTGCCTTTCCAAATACATGTAAATCCTGTCTCTCAGGATCCCCTCCAACAATGTGCCCACCACCGATGTCAGGCTCACCGGTCTTTGGTTCCATGGCTTTTTCTTACCACCTTTCTTCAATAGTGGCACCATGTTAGCCAACTCCAGTCTTCCAGCGCCTCGCCTGTGGCTATCAATGATACAGATATCTCAGCAAGGGGCCCAGCAATCACTTCTCTAGCTTCCCACAAAGTTCTGGGTTACACCTGATCCGGTCCCGGGGATTTATCCACCTATATGCATTTTAAGATGTCCAGCACCACCTCCTGTGTATTATGGATATTTGTCAAGATGTTGCTGTTTGTTTCCCCAAGTTCTGTAGCCTCCATATCCTTCTCCACAGTAAACGCTGATGCAAAATACTCATTTAGTATCTCCCCTGTCTCCCGCGGTTCCACACATAGGCGAGATAATGGTTTTTCAAATGTTCTGCTATTACTTGCTTAATAATTGATTCCAATACCATTCCAACAGTAGATGTTAGGCTAATTGGCCTATAATTACCAGCTTTTTGCCCCCCCTCCTTTTTTGAATAGGGGTGTGACATTAGCAGTATTCCAATCGTCTGGTCCTTTTCCAGAATCCAAGGATTTTTGGAAAATTACAACCAATGCATCTACTATCTCTGCAGCTACTTCTTTTAGGATCCTAAGATGCAAGCCACTAGGACCAGGGGACTTACCTGCCTTGAGACCCAATAGCTTGTCTAATACTTCGGGCGGCATGGTGGCTCAGTGTTTAGCACTGCTGCCTCACAGCGCCAGCAACCCAGTTTGATTCCACCCTCAGTGGAGTTTGCATGTTCTCCCTGTGTCTGCGTGGGTTTCCTCCGGGTGCTCCATTTCCTCCCACAGTCCAGGTTAGGTGAATTAGCCATTCTAAATTGCCCATAGTGTTCAGGGATATGTAGATTAGATGGGTCTAGGTGGGATGCTTTGAGGGTCGGTGTGGACTTGTTGGGCTGAAGGGCCTGTTTCTACATTGTAGGGATTATATGTCTACTACTTTAGTGATGGTGATGATATTTTAGTTTGTCCCCATATTCTTTAGTATTAGTAGGATGTTCGAAGTATCTTCCACTGTAAAGAAGGATGCAAAATATCTGTATCACTCCTCTGCAATTTCCTCATTTCTCATAGCTGACTCCGCAGATTCATTTTCTAAGAGGCCTACGTTCACTTTGACCTCTTTTTCCCTTTTTATATATTTAAAGGAGCTCTTATTGTAGTTTTTATATCACTCACTAGTTTGCCCTCGTCATTTATTTTCTCTGGTTTTCTTCTCTTTTAGTCCTCCTTTGCTGGATTCTGAATTTATTCTAGTCTTCGTGTTATCACTGACTTTGCCCTTCTTATACGCTTTCTCTTTCAACTTAATATTCTCCTTAGCTTTCTTGGGTAGCCTGGATTGTTTTATCTGGGGCCCATGTCTAAAAATTATGTCTTTAAACCCAGAATGGTGCCATGTGATGACTAATGACAAACCTGTATCCAACAATACTGTACTCCAGTGATACAGTGACATATCCTATATCCACAGGTACAGTACCTCCAGAATACAGTGACAGACCTATACCTACCAAAACTGTATCTCAGTAATACACAGTGACAGATCTGTATCCATCAGTACTGAATCCAATGAAACACAGTGACAGAACAATAGCCACCAATACTGTATTTCAGAAATAATTCACGGTATGATAATTTTAGTGTCAGATAATGTTGGATTTTACTGTAATTTTACAGATTGTTCTGCATGTAATCCATAGACTCTGTGCCTCTCTCCCTTTTCCCAATGCCTGATCTCTGAAACAGATTACAAATTCTGTTTAACCAAAAGTAAATAGGAAGAGGAGCTTCTGGTCTTCAATGTCACATCTCGGCCTGTGAGGGAGAAGAGAATATTTGTTGTCCCTTTGTTGTCATATTGCACATTAGTGACTTGGCTGATGCCGGTTTCGGTATATAAGTGGAGGGGCAGGTCAGTGGTAGTATTGAGTAATACTGGAGTCAGTGTGTGACTGCACAGTTTCTAACCACTCAGTTTGATATCAGGGTAATATCGAACTGGGAGTCACTAATGATTAGTACTTAATACAGGGTTCTTGTCTGTATGCGGTATGGCCAATAACAAGGATGTCAGGCTCCACTGTGAAACAAAAATAGAGATTGCTGAAAAAGTTCAGCAGGTCTGGCAGCATCTGTGAAGAGAAATCAGACTTAACGTTTTGGGTCCAGTGACCCTTCCTCACAACAGTGAATGTTGATTTAAAATGAAAGTGTAATAGGAACATCCCAGAGCTGTGCTGAGTCCATCAGGCCAGCAGCAGGAATGCAGCACTAGAGTGAGGACATTTAGGCAGAGAGGGGCGAATGGGCAAAGAGAGCTGGGGAGATGAGCTGAGTACAGCAGCTGCTGACTGCAGGTGCAAACCATGATGGCAGTGAGCCACTTACATCAGCTGTGTTGTTTAGAATCTATGCAGACTGTTAGTCTGAGCTTTGCTTCTGTTTAGTAAAAATCTTAATATGACTTAAACCCTGACTGACCTTTTGAAAATGTGGTAGCAGAAATGAGCTTTCTCAAAATATGTTCCATGTTAAGTTAGGTTTTTGTAAACAATAAAACTTTAACTATGCTGCACCAGTCACACCCTTAAACATCCCGTTATTCCTCATGCAATGAAGATTTGGAGTACTGACTGATAAAAATGGGAAGCCTGATTCGTCTGATTTTGATGATGATTTGTTGAGAAACATTGGGCAGGTCGTGTAGAGACTTCTGCTCTCAGTTTAGGACATTGGAGGTAGAGGCAGCATAGGTGAGATGCTGTACAAAAGGTCAAGAATAAAAACATACAAATTGAGAGCAAGACTAGGTCAATCAGCCTGCTCTGCTATTCAGTCAATCATTGCTTATTTGATTGTGCCGTCAACTCAGTTTACCTCCCTACCCCTGTACTGTTTGAGACTTGATTAGTCAAGAATCTACTTTGCTTATTCAGTGGCACGACCACCATTGTTCTCTGTGGAGAAGGGAAGCATCAGGATTGGGGAAAATGCTAGAACCTATTGTAAATGACAAAACATTTGGAAAGCGTTAACAGGATTGGACAAAGCTAGCATGACCCTATGAAAGGCAAATCAGGCTTTACAAATCTACTGGAGTTTTTTGAGGATTTAGCTAGTAGAATAGATAAGGGAGAGCCAGTGATTATGGTACATTTGGATTTTCAGAAGACTTTTAATGAGTTTACTGGGTAAGGTCAAAACTTGCGGTAAATATATGGCATAGATCAAGAATTAGTTGACAGACAGGAAACAGAGAGTGGGAATGACTTTGTTTTCCAAGTGGCATGCAGTAATTAGCAGGCTACCGCAAATGTCAATACTTGGACCCCAGTTATTCATAATAGATATAAATGATAAAATCACAAGAGTCATACAGCACGGAGAGAGACCTTCAGTCCCATTCGTCCATGCTGACCAAGTTTCCCAAACTAAACTAATCCCACTTGCCTCCATTTGGCCCATATCCTTCTAAACCTTTCCTATTCAGATACCTGTCCAAATGTCTTTTAAATGTTGTAGCTGTACAGCATCTACCACTTCCTCTGGCAGTTCATTCCACATGCAAACCACCCTCTATGTGAAGAAGTTGCCCCCCAGGTCCCTTTTAAATCTGTCTCCTCCTCATCTTAAAAATACGCCCCCTAGTTTTTAACACCCCTACCATAGGGAAAAGACCTTTGCTATTCATCTTATCTTTGCCCTCATGATTTTATAAATCTCTATAAGGTCACCCTAAAACCTCTTACACTCCAATGAAAAATGTCCCAGCCTGTCTAGCCTCTCCTCACAAATCAAACCCTCCAGTCCCAGCAACATCCTGGTAGATCTTCTCTGAACCCTCTTCAATTTAATAATATCAATCCTGGATGAAGAGGTCAAATACAACATTTCCAAGTTTGCTGACAACATAAGGTTGTGTCAGATGAGAGTTATGAGGAGGATATGAGGAGGCTTCAAGGTGATTTAGATAATTTGAGCAGTTGGGCAACATGTGACAGATGCAGCACAATGTTGCTTTATTCTAAAGAATGGTCACTGGACCATTAACTGGTCACATTAACTTTGTTTTGTCTCTACTGATGCTGCCAGACCTGAGTTTTTCCAGCAATTTCTGTTCTTATTGACAAATGTGAAGTTATGTACTTCGGTGTGAAAAATAGAAGGAATTTTAATGGAAAGCATGGAAATACTAAGGGTTCTGGGTGTTCTTGTAAACCAGTCAATGAAAATAGGCAGGTGCATCAAGCAATGAGGGAGACAAATGGTATATTGGGTTTCATTGCAAGAGGATTTGAATTCAGAAGTAGGGATGTATTACTGCAGTCATGCAAGGCCGACCACAGTTGGTGTATTATGTGCAGTTTTGGTCTCACTGCCTAAGACAGGATATATTTGTAATAGAGGGAATGCAGCAGAGGTTCACTAGACTGATACCAGGACGGTATCTCATGAAGAGAGAATAGTTTGACTGGGTCTGTACAGTTTAGAAGGATGATTGAAACATACAAATTTGTTTCGATCTTTGGAGTCTAGAACCAGGGAGCACAGTCTCAGGATAGAGGTTATATCATGTAGGACTGAGATGAGGAAAAATGTCTTCACTAGTAATGGATCTGTGGAATTCTCTACCACAGAACGCTGTGGAGGCCAAGTCACTAAATATATTCAAGAAACAGATACATTTTTAGATTTTAAAAACATCTAGAGTTATGGGAAGAAAGTGGGAAATGAAATTAAGATAGAGGATCGGTCATAATCATATTGAATGGTGCAGCAGACTCGAAGAGCCAAATGGCCTCCTACTGCTCCAAGTTTCTATGTAAATCCCCATGGTTCTAAACTTTATCCTAGTTGTAGTCTCTTCCATAAGAGGGAGCATCATTTCAGCATCCATCTTTTCAAGTCCTCTCAGGATCTTATATGTTTCAGTAAGATCACCTCTCAATCTTCTAAACTCCAATGGTTACATGTCCAATGTATCCAACCATTCCTATAACTCTTTCATTCCTAGAATCAGTCTTGTGAACCCTTTCTGAACTGTTTCTAATGCAATAATATCATTTAATAAATTCTATGAAACGGTGGTCTACTGTATCCGCTGCTCCTGGTGTGGCCTTCTCTACATTGGTGGGACCAAGAATAGACTCAGGGACCATTTTGTAGAGCATCTGTGCTCTGTACACAACAAACAACAACACTTTCTGGTCGCGAACCATTTTAACTCCCCCTCCCACTCCCTGGGTGACATGTCCATCCTGGGCCTCCTCCAGTGTCACAGTGACACCACCTGCAAACTGGAGGAGCATCACCTCATATTTCACCTTGGGAGCCTACAGTCCAATGGCCTAAACGTGGATTTTATCAGTTTCAAAATCTCCCCACCCCCCCGGTCTCATCCCATGACTAACCCTCCCTCTCATCCCCGCCTCCTTGACCTGGCGCAACCTGTCCATCTTCTGTCCCACCTATACGCCCCTCCCACCTCACTGACCAATCCCTACCACCCTCTACCTGCACTCACCTATCACCATCCACCAACCTTCCCCAGCGCCACCCCTCTTCTCTCTATTTCCCAGCTCCCTTCGCCCTCCCTATTTCTGAAGAAGGGTCCTGACCTGAAACGTCAACTTCCCTGCTCCTCTGATGCTGCCTGG